AATATCTCACTACTCAAGTAGATGGTCAAAAATCAGTATCTACGCAGATGACTACAGTAAGCAAGAATTTCTCACATAAATTTCTGTCAACAAAATAGAAAAATTGAATATAAATTCATGAAATGATTTACTATGCTATGATGTGGATTGTTTTTTACTCTTAGCTTTATTTATCAGTAATAATTAGGAGATATATATTAGCTAGTGATGGAATTAATGAGTAGCATTTCATTCTATTTGAGTCTCGTCAGCTGAACACAACTTTACCCTACTGTTGATGTTCACATACAGTCTTGATTCAAGTATTATTAGCCTCAAAAGTTCAGTTCGTTATCCATTAAGTTTAGATAACCAATAGGTCGGATAACACGTTAAGTACACGTTTGTACATTATTCTAGATGATGTTGTAGTGAATGAGAACACAAATGGAAACAATTGAATGTATTTGAATACAAAATTACAGAACATCATAGCAAAATCTAAGAACCGTACAGTAAATAATTCATTTGCAAAATACCAATCAATCATCTCAGACTTCATTGTTCTCTCGTTTCTACACCGATCATTTTCTGTTCTTGTTCTCCTTTCTTTGATCTTCTTAACCTTCTACCATCAAGCATTTCACTTTCGATTATTGATACATACTACTGATATCTGTCGACATCAGTAGCATGCACCCTCAAACTGATCAGTATTCAATGACCAACCAATATATATATATATATGGGTTTAGATTAATGATTAGTGCCAATAAATATAGACCAATTTCACACTATCTGTGTCTATTACATCATTTAAGAACTTTGAATTTTTGATTAATTAATCTCTTAGATAATATTTTCATCAACAAGATAATAATAATGATAATCGATTCCCTAGTGATGGATATCACTAATCCAGGCTTCAATATTCTTTCGGATATGTTAACTATCTGATATATTTAGGAATGTTCATATTCCCGAAAAATGTAAATTTCAGGGAAACAGTTCCATGATTTATGCTTGTCACACATATTCAACCTCTGTACTGTTACTATTATTATTATTAGTAGTAGTATTAGTATTAGTATTACAAATATCTATGAGGTATGTTACTGAAATACAACCATTAAGCTGACTTAGTGTTGTTTTACTTGTATCATCCCGTTGTTATTTAGGACTGCAACCGATCATTCTCGTGATAGAATATGTGCATCCTGTGCGGATTGCCTTGATATAGCCTTAAGTTACAAGCTTTTTAAGAAAAGATGGATAGTGGCTAGCAGTGAAAATCAGTTTGACCCGCGTTCCGTCCTATTTGGGACTCGTGCGCTGGATGTACCTGCATCGCATAGTTGATGTCCTCTCCGGGACTCGAACCCAGTACTGTTGTTTCAAATGCCATCAAGTGAATTTAAACTTCATCCCATTGCACAGGCAGGTGGTTATCAGGACTCAGTAGATAAGTGAATAACGTAATGAAATTTGAAGCGAACGATATTGGGTTCGAGTCCCGGAATGAACATCAACTTTGCGATGCAGGTACACGCAGCTGACGATTGCCAAATAGGACGAGACGCGCGTCAAACTGGATCCCACTGTTAGCCACTATCCATCTTTATAACCATAAAGCGTTTACATTTAAAATACACTGATTAAGAAATGTAGAAAATCAGCAATCAGTTATTAATTAATTAACAGGGAAGTTATTTAAAGAATAAACTCAATCAATATTGTTATAATATTATAATATTAAACTAATCAGGGTGTTATCCAAGCTAAAAAGCAAAAAAGATTGTACTTGTTGCTCATAATTTTATTTATATTACTAATTAAGATTAATCGATTTAAATGATTCATATTGTTTAATATTATTGAATTAGATACTTTAGCCTATTAGCCCTCCTGGAGGAGTATAAGCCGCTCACCAGGAATTATATTGATTCATGTAAAGTCTTTTAATTACAACATTTTAATCTAAATATTAGATTGACATTTTAACTATTTAATAATGATTAATATGATTTGAATTGTTGAGACTAAAATTCTGTTCAAATAGTAGATTAAACTGATAAATCACAACTCTAGGAACCTCTCTCTGCTAGTTTTAATGCTCTTTATCATGTTAATTACATTTAAAAAATAAAAAATGCTTTTGATGTTTATTAAAATACTCTTTTTAGACTTGTCGGCTACTATGAGACTGTATCTCTTGACGTTGCTCCACTGCTTTGTGGATCACATCTTTAGGTCGAAAGCTCCGGGTATGGCCTCCTAACATAACCACCAATTTCGATCTGGGCACCCGGGCGGTATTACAGCTCACACATAAAGCAAGTGACATATGTATTGCACTGATGCATTGTTACCAAAAAAATATGAATTTTCTTAATACAAACAGTTGGACTGTACACATCATTCATATTTGTAGATATTTATTCTCTCTTCACTTTAGAAATGTAAATCCGATTCATATTCATTTAGAGATCCGAACACCATGTGATGTTATACTCACATAATGAAACTTATATAATGGTTTCAGAATTTTTGTGACCCGGGTTCTGGTGATCCCAACGTGATTTGAACACGCAGCCTTCTGTTATGGAGTCAGATCTCGGGTCACTAAAATATAATATTCCACCTTCATTTTGAACAGAATATTTAAGAGAAAATCTGGAAAAACAGTAACACTACTAGTTCTTCAACTATTGAGAACTTGGTTTACACTAACAGTCATTGAAAAAACGTTTGCACGTCCCTTACTCCTCAGTTATTGTCATTGGAATTCTAACTGGGCTATTCAAAAACTCAGTTTTCCTAAACTGTGACTGTACAGTACTTAATTAGTCCGACAGAATAGATGTGTTCACAGATTATATCTTCTTTAGGTGGACCTTTTACTGTTTACTTCATGACTTGTGCACGCGAATGCAAAAAAAAGACCAGCTGTTCTCTTGAGTGGAATAATGTACCCTGACGATACTAAAATTTTTAAAGTAACTGTAACCTCTGTCAAATTATGGTGAATGTATCTTCCTCAGAAGTGAAAATGCCTATACTGTCTAGGACATCAAAGTAATCTTTTTTCCGATGCAATGCAAATATTTCTATTCATAATGAAAATTGGTATTCGAATATGAATAATCTGTCTAAAAATCATCCACTACTACAAACGACGGACTGGAAAAGAACACTTACAATTTTGCCTACTTTTATATAATAAGTAGTATAGCAAATAATCCGCGGGCAGCTATTCTAGAGTTACTGCCGGTCCCAAGCCCAATATAAAGGAGGATGATTGAGTATGGAATAAACAACCCCGTCCCATAGAAAACAACCTTGCTATAATTAAGCTAACCAGATTGAACAAAATAACCCGCTTAAACTCTGTCCTCGGAGTGTAAAGATCTCTCTGAAGAATTATTATGCCTCATGATGAAAGTCGAGATTCTTCGGAAATCACGTGGATGATACACCTTCTAACAACCAGAACAACCATTATAGTAGGTACACAGAATGTCCAGAAAATGTGGAGGACGGATAGGACCAGTAAAATAGTTACACAAATTAGGAGATACAACTTATATTCGGGACAGATGCTGCTGTACTCCGATCACGAGGAGGAAAATGCCCCACACACTCAAGGAGTTGCTCTGATGCTGTCCAAAGAAGCACGCAGAGCACTTATAGGATGGGAATCTCATGGATACAGTTTCGTCAAAGCACCCTTCAAAACAAAGAAGGAGGGAATCACAATGAATGTTATCTAATGTTATGCACCCACCAATGATAGCAATGGCGACGATAAAGGTCAGTTCTATAAGAGGTTACAATCAATCATTGGTGAAGTGCACGGAAGAGGACCTTACAATCCTAATGAGAGATCTAAACACTAAAGTTGGAATAGACAACACTGGATATGGAGATATCATGGTAAAACATGGACGAACTGAGAGAAAGGAACGAGAATGGTGACAGATTTGAAAATCTATGTTCATTCAACAATATTCCCATACACATGCATAAACAAAGCTACATGGGTCTCACCGGGTCATACCACAAAGAACTGGATAGATCATATTTGCATCAATGAAGAATTCAGAAGGACAATGGAAAACATGAGAATCACGAGAATTAGGTTGATAGGGACAGTTAAACCAGAACTGTCCACCAATTAATGGGCTAATTTATGCACGTTGATGTTAACTACTTGACCCCAGGTCCCAGTGATAACCGTAATCAGTGGTTCATGACGTTGCATGACATAACTCAGAGTCGTTCATATTAGCACAGATGTATTCATTCATTATCTTTTCTTAAATCTTCAGTTCTAGTATTCTCTCTACTACACATTCGTTTCGAACCATATCTTGTTCTGCTGTTATGATACAGTAATTGAAGCTATCACATATTTATCTCAATACTTATCCCAACTGAGTCACAAGGCAATCCCTCACATGGAATCCAACGAAAAAAATAAAGACCAAAGAAAACATTACATCGTGAAATACAGACAGACATGAGAAGAATGAACAAAAATTAGATAGTACTGGAAAAGAAAGCCCAGGACAGAGTGAGTTGGAGAATGTTGGTCGGCGGTCTATGGTCCATCAAGAGTAACTGGTATAAGTAAGTAATTAATTAAATCTATCAACTATCCTTAAACACATCTTATTTCATATTCTTTAACTAATAATGAAACATTTAAAATGATTATTATGTAGTTCAAATCTATGACAAAGATAACTATAGTATTTCATTTTATTATAAAACATAATCAAATATTCATTAACTTAAATGAAATTAAACCATCACCTATTACATGAAAACAATATCTTTGATATAGTTATTACGTAGCAAATTGAAATATCCATCATCTTTATCAGTGATTACATTTTGGATAAACAAACAAAAGAAGAAAGAAACAAAAGAAATTGACTTATTTAAACAATTCCTAAGAAGTTTTAACATGTGATGGAACTAATGAAATTTTATAATATGATCTATACAAAGGTGCTAACCTTCGTGAAAATGTTCTACTTGAAATTATTTCCTCTTCAGCATCATTAACATTATTGTCAGTAGTAGTTATAGTAGTCATAGTAGTAGTAGTAGCAGTAGTAGTAGTAGTAGTATTGTTCTTTTCTCTAGACTGATTAATTATTCTTGATTGATTATTAATTGATTGTATATAACTTGGTTTTGGTGGTATTGATGGGGTATAAGAAGAAGTTTGTTTGATTGAATAATGACTAGATGTCTTTGTTTGAGATTCCTGTAATGATCAATGAAAAAAGGGGGGGAAATTATAATTCTTATTACAATGCAGATATCAATTAGAAACCAAAAGAAAAAATCAATTTTTGTTACACAACCTCATGATGATGTACCATAATGTTCAATGTGGTTAATTTAATGTTTCTCGATTTTTTTTAATTTTTCATTCAGAATCTGGGTTTTTTTTCTTGAATTGATTTTTTCTGGATAGTGTTTTTTTAGCGAATTAGTTTTCTACGGAATAAAGTTTGCTAACCCCATGCCCAAACCTTCTCTTTGTCTAATCTTGAAACCGACAGTAGCCTCATGGGGGCTCCAGGTGGAGGCTAGCCCTCACTTGAAATCCGCAAGGCCAAAGGAGAAGAAGACCTAAGAACAAATTACTCCGAGAAATGGAGACAGATATGAAAAGAATGTATAAAAATTAGATAGAACTGGAAAGGAAGGCCCAGGCGAGAGTGTGTTGGAGAATGCTGGTTTACTACCTATGCATCATTAGGAGTAACAGACGTAAATAAGTAGGTAAAGTAAGTTTTTCTTAAATTCTCACCATTTAATTTCTTTTCATCAGTTTTACCAATGTGGTATCATTAATATTAGAAATAATGTTCAATATTTATTTTCATTTGCTTAATTTTCTACTTGTCATACACAAAGACTTATTGTAACAAATCGATCACATAGTCTCGTCTATAGATTTCGTGTGATTCCGAATAGTGATGGATGGTGGTGCAATTTTGTGGATTAGTTGAAGTTAGACATTAACACTAGTGAATGGCAGATCAGTGGTCCAAATGTTAAGCGTCCGCGCTCGTGATCGGAGGTCCTGGATTCGAATCCAGCGAGTGGGATCGTAGATGCTCACTCTTGAAGTGTCCCAGGCTAGAACAAAAACGGCCGCCCGATGCTTCCAGATTTTTCATGGTGGTCTAATGTTAATTGACTCATGAATTCAACCATTAAACTTCTAATAGTTTGGTGTGATTTGTGTAAATATCTTCTTTGGGAGAACTAATATATCGACTGATCACATAAATGTTTTGAATTTCTGTGTGAAGATCTAGGTGTTCCTATTTTGAACATCAACGATTTGAAAGTGAATCACAGTTGCAGAATATATTCCTTGTCACACTACAATTATTCCTTGATTTCACCGTAAGATGAAAAATAATAATTCTTATTTACTTTTTCAAGTCCTACATAGTGACTTAACGTTTATACCATCAGTAACTTAACATCTAAACATCTCGAGTGTTAAGATTTAGTTAAAGCATAAAAAGGTTACTAAATTCTTTTGACAAAAAAGCATTCACTTAATATGAAGATAGATTAGGAAAATACATTTGACAATGGGTTAATATTCATTTCAAGTAAACGGAATTTAGTCGAACTTATGTCATAGCTAACACACTTTCGTGACCATTAGAAGATAAATTTCAGATGGTTGGAGGTAGTCAACAGGGAACCGTAGAAATATATTTCATGCTACTTAGCACATATCAGCAAAGCGTACCTGTAATTTAGAGAGAAATAATGCTACCTGAGGGATTAAAACTGTGTAAATGGGTGATAATGCTTTGAATTCACCAGGAAAAACTAGTTCCTTGAAATTCTAAGATGTACCTTACTGACAAGTACGAGAAAGTTGAACAGGGATTCTTGTTGGCTGCCTTGAAACATTTAATATCTCAACAGAGTATTCAAATGTTGACATACTCAGACTAGTGTTCACATTATAACTTGATTAACAAAATTCGATCAGTACTAAATAAAAGCGACATTAGTTACTAACCTGTGATCAATCGATTTTAAACGTTAGATAACTCATAATATGTCTTTTTAATCTTATTCCGAACCACTGATCGTTGATCATAAAAACTTGCATAAATAGGTCGCAGTGTAGTAGATTACAGATTCCAGATAACAATTACAATAAATAGATGGCTTATATTATGAATATAACATAAACTTCACATTTATGGTATTTAGCTAGATTCAATAAAATGCATTTGCATTCAAGTAGAGAATACGAAACTGAGATGACACTCTATCAAAAACTGGCTAACTTCTTGTCACCTACAATACTTTAAACAGTGTCGTTGATTACACTGAATTGGATAATTTAATTAAAAAGCTATCATCATCATTATGGACAACATCATCATTGTTTATTCTATTAGCTTTAATTCAGTTTATTCTGATGACTTTGTTCGTAATGCGTTATTTCAAATTGAAATGAATTATCAGAGATCAACGAAACAACTAAGTGAAATTGAATACAAGATTTAAAGAAGACAATCAAACACAAACAAGTTCACCAAGGCAAACTAATTTAACACTGTTTGAATAACTAAAATGTTCATTTCTAGATGAAGTACACTCTAGTCATATTTATCCGGAAGAATAATAAAAAGCTACGTCATTAAATTAATAAATTCAAAGTTTTATTTTTATTTTATTTAAACACATAAACATTGGTACAATCCCATGGTAGGCGGTCAACAATAATTGATTCATATGCCATTTGTTGTCTCAGGATACTGAAGTCCATGTACACCATTGGTTTGGAATCAAGATTTTCCAACTCACCCAGGTGAACCCTCCATGTCCACCAACCCGGTTAAAGCACCGGACATTCTCTTTCCGTCCTCTCAATTTCGTAAACAGTATCCCCACCGCTAGACGGCAATAAGTAGGACTTCCCTGGCAGTGGTTGTATGCACGTGGCCATGTGAAAGTATTTCATGACTGCTAGCCGACTCTCTGCACTCTCAACTGTACCAGGTCATTTGGGGGCTATAAACTCAAAGAACTCAAGTATATTTAAAATGGACATATCTTGTTCATCAGCTTGTTTAGTTCATTATTTTCCTTAATCTTCACTAGACACTGAGCTAACCATTTTAATTTAACAATAAATATCAATGTGGGGATTTACTAAGACCGTAGTATTTTCACAGTTAAATTCACTAATTAATCTAATATAGACCATCATTGAAGACCTAGAAGCATTAGGTGGCAATAAATACTTCAAAACAAACATTATATTTGTATATAAAGATGGATTGTGGCTAGCACATAATACTTATGACTTAAGACTATATATAGGTAATACGCATAGTATGCACATGTACAGAATGAGTGACTGATCAATTTCAGTCCAAAACATCAATGAGAGGATTCAAACAAACAATACCAAATGAGTTTGTATGTATAATTATCAAGGTGTGATTTGATAATTTCGAACAAATTGAGCATTGGGTAGACTGTTATAAATAAATAATAAATTTGTAATACCAAATGAATTTAAACTTCGCCCCATTACACAAACAAGTTGCTATCAGGACTCAATAGCTAAATGGATGACGTGATGGCGTTTGAAGCGAAAGGTACTTTATTGGAGTCCCATAGTGAACATCTACTCTTGAATGCAGATATATCCAACTGACAAGTCCTAAATAGGATGAAACGTGCGTTAAACTGGATTCCACTACTATGTCACCCCTATAAATCTTTATTTAGAATGTTTGTGAATTAAGGCTTTATAGAGGCAATGCGCATAGGATGCACATATATTAATAGGAAACTGATCAATTACAGTCTTAAACATCAATAGAAAGATTCAAATGAAGAATATCAAGTGAATTTAAACAATATATTTATTGATCAATGAACATTTTTTTGAATGAAGTATTACTTACTCACACATTCTTCCTCTTTAATGTGTTACATCAACTTAAAGGTTAAATCACATGAAACTCATTCACATTCAAGTTAAGATAAAAGTTCTTATGGAACTCTTTTCATTCGTTTCTATTCATGTTAATATATATTTTCAATATAGAAGTAATTGAACTTTCTTTAAATGTCCTGGTATGGCCGAGAGTTGGGGGGGGGCCGCCCACCCTCTCAAAATACTCTCACACGGCCTCGCGTATACAGCCTCTGCCAGAGAAGTCCTACTCACTGCCTTCTCGTGGCAGGGGGTGTTGTTTACGAAAATGAGAGGACGAAAAGCGAATGCCAACTGCTACCATGGGATTGCATCTCCTCACGATGCTCCACTGCTTTGTGGGTCAGACATTTAGGTCGAAGGCTCGGGGTATGGCACCCTAAGAAAACCACCTACTTCGATCTGGACACCCGAGCAGTATCACAGCCCACACACGGACAAATATGGTGTGGCGCATATTTATTTGGTGCCCTCTTGTACCAATATTTATGTGTTCAAATAAATAATAAATAAATAATTTTTTTAAAAATAACTTACTAGTTTTTTATTATTTTCATTATTTCCAATAGTGATTAAATGATTTTGACTAAATGTAACAGATTTCGGATATTCTTTACTTATTATATTATCATTATTATTATTATCATTATTTGTAGTTGATTCAATTAAATGATCTGTTCTATTTGTTAATATAGCTAATGAATCACCTAATTTATATGCACCAACACCGGTAGCTGCAAGATATGCAGCAGTACTACCAGCTGTTCTATTCATTTGACTACTATTAACATTCATATTAGTAGTATTAGTAGTATTAGTATAAGTTGTTTTTCTTAGATTATTATTATTATTTATTTGATTATAATAAGAAGATGAATCAATTAGAGGATTAGATGTTTGATATAAATTTCTATTAGATGATTGTGTTAAATAAGCTAATGAATTCGATGTTGATAATGATAATGATGATGATGATGATGGTAATATTGATTGATCAATTATCGAATTATATTTTAATGAATTATGTAATGGTTCATGATATGATCGTGTTTTATTGATTAATTCACTTGTACTAATAGATGATGATATATTTTGATTCAAATTTATTGATTTTGTTGCTTTAGCTAATGATGATCCATGATTGGATGTATGTAATACATTTTGATTGAATGGTGATAAAGTTTGTGCCATCATACTATCTGATTTATTATAATAATTACTATGTGTATGAATCATAGGGGTAACATTGGAATAATTTAATTTCTTATTAGATAATGGATAATAACCATTATTATATAATAAATCATTTGATATAGATTCTTTCTTATTCAATGTTGTATCTATATGATCCATATCATCTATTTGTTTTATATTATTATCTATTGGATCTAATATAATATTATTGATATCAGGATTGATATTATTCTGATAATTAGTTTTATCTTCTATTGGATTCGTTATTGTATGATACCAATCTCTTGGTTGTGGGGATAAATCTTTGATTGATTTCATTTTATTCAATGTGAATTGTCTTGATATATGTTGTGAAGTATTTCTAGATAATAATGGATCCTTTGTACTTGACTGAGATAATTTAGGATAACAAATAATATTTTTACGTGATTCTGTATAATGTTTCATAGATTTAATATTTAATGGTATTTCATAATTATTGGATGAATATAATGGTGATGATGATGATGATGGTGGTAATGTATCATTTATTGTATTAGGTATTGTAGTTATATTACATGCATATGGATAATAAATAGAGGATTTCGACGGATTTATATTTTCTATACGATGATATGATAATGTTTGAGATTTATGTGGTATTGTTGTTGTTAAACTATTTATACTTGTTGTAGTTGTTATTGTTCCCGTCATTGTCGTCATTATCATTGTTGTTATGGATTTATTTTGATTAAAATATAGTGATTTCGATCGATTCATTGATGATTGTTTTGTAGTTTCTATGATAGATGAATGATCATTTATTGATTGAATTGAATATTGATTATTAGGACTAATTATAGTTTGTTTATATTGTGATTTGATTGGATTAGTTTCAATTTGATGAGCAGTAGTTAAACCTATCGATGGTTTTTTTATAGTAGGAATAAATTTAGTCTCTGTCTCTTCAAGATTATTTGAATAAGGATTTAATATAGATATAGTAGAAATTGGACTGTACGAATCATCTTTGATAATATTTTCCGAATGTATACTTACATATGGTTTTGTATTTAATTGTTCATTGGATAAATTATTCAATGTTTCACTATTATTATTATTGTCTGTTTTTGGATTGATTGAAAGAATTGGAGTAGTATCATCTTCAGTATTCTTGATAGATTTTATTCCATTCGCTCCAAGCCAATTACCAACTTTCATTTTTTGATACATATCTGAATTATTAGTTTGTTTTAATGCATCATTAACAAATTCATTATTTTCATTCACATCATCATCATCATCATCATCATCTTCATCAGCTGATTTTAATGGTGATGAAGATAATGTATTCACTGAACCAGTACAAAAGCCATTTACACCACCACCACCACCACCGCCAACACCATTCATATTATTTAAATTTACATCAATTTGTAATGGTTGCTCTGTGGCTTCAGCATTTGCTTCAACACCGGAACTAATTGAATCAATATTATCTTATTATTATTATCATTATCTATATTTGATTGTATTAAATTCATCGTATTTGTTATATTCATTTGTTCTGTTTTCATATTATTTCGTTGTTTTTCATTTATTGTCTCATTTATTGTATCATTTTTATTTGGATATAATTCATTGATAGATTTCTTTTTATCAGATAATAAATCACCCTCAGCAACAGTATTATTGATTTCATTGGGATTTTTATGAATACCCGGAATATTGATTAAATTTGGTGTAGATAAACTACTTTTATGTTGACGTTGTTGTTGTTGTTGATCTTGTAATGTTTGTAATGGTACTTGTTGTTTTATTCCTCCATTGAATTGATCAGTTAATCGTTTATTCATGAAAAGATTATCATTTAAATCATCTAATTCATTATTATTTCTACGTGTTTCTACTACAAAATAAAAGAATAATTAATTAACATTCATTTAACTAATGAAAATGATTTAATAAAGTAAGATAATCAACGACTGAAAAAAGAAAACTAATTTCAAATGAAGTTTTGTCTGTTATAATATAAGAAATAAACTCTAATTCATTTTCAGAAAAGGTTTTTGTGGAGATTTATGAAAATTTCAATAGTTGAAATCATGAGTCAGTTGAAGCTGGAACATCATGGAAAACCTGGAAGCACTGGACGGTCGTTTCGTCCTCGAAAGGAATGTGCATCCACGAACCCGCCTCGCTAGACCTGAACCCAGTACATATCAGTCTTGCGCGCGAACTTTTAACCACTAGGCCACTGAGCCGGCATCCGGCAGTGTTCATGTCTAATTTCAATTAATCCATGAAAATGAGCGACACATCCACCACTGTCATCAGTGAGTTCCTATCTCACAGAAGACCCGGTTGAACTACACTGGTCACTGCTTCCCATTAGAAATCCAGGAAATTCCTCTTGAAGACAGCCACTAGTGAATATATGTTGATTAGTATCAGAAGGTAGTTTTGTGGATATTATAGTAATTTCAATAGTTCAGATCATGAGATTAATAGGTCTACGGTTTGAATCTCGTGAGGTGGGTTCGTGGATGCACACTGCTGAGGAGACTCGCAATAAAACGAAACGACCGTCCACTGCTTCTAGGTTTTTCATAGTGGTGTAGCTTCAACTGACTCATAATCACAACTATTTAAATTGCAATAATCCCCTTCTGATATAAAAAGATAAAAATTAAATAATCTGGATAAAACGGATTGGCTAAAAGGTTACCAAATTGATATAATTCGATAAAAGATCCTAACTACGGATCTACTGTTAAGACTTCTTATGTAATCATGTAATCTTTTCGAATAGTGACGGATAACTTCTAGTCAGTTAATGTAAGATAATTAAAAAATCATTAGTCATGTTTCTTAAATAACACCTATTTTTCTACATAAATTTCTTCTTTTTTTTCATGAACTTACAAGAACTTCTGTGATGATCTAAACCTTTAATTAATCGATTCATCCGTGAACTATCTTGAAGATTTTCATTACTATCCACATATTTACGATCCAAATCATTTTGACTTTGTGAATGTCGTTTATCATGAACACTCCTAAAAATTATATAATTAGAGTAGACTAATGGATATCCAATATGACAAATGATAATGATTTAATATTAACATGAGATAAAATGATACCTAATTTCAAAAATAGATATTTATTCTTAATTCAGATTTAAATGTTTCTCTTTTTCTAGTTACAAGTATGTATTGTTAGTGTTGGAGATATATTTGCTATATTCAAGCATCAATTCATGTCATATTTATCGATGATTTGGTGCATGCTAATTGTGTTGACAGCTCGGAATCAACTAAACAATTTGGATTTTGCAGATGACCTAGCTATTCGATCCTATACACACGAACAAATGCGGATGAAGACAACTACCGTAGCAGCAGTCTCTACAGAAATAGGCCTCAAGGGGAAAAGAAAGACCCTCAAATACAATACGAAGAACACCAAATACAATCACACTTAATGGAGAAGCTCTGGAAGAAGTGGGATCATTCACGAACCTGTGAAGTATCGTCGATGAACAAGAAGGATCGGATGCACACGTAAAGGCACTGATTGAATAAGCAAGGACAGCATTCCTACAGTTGAAGAACATATGAAACTCAAAACAACTGTCAATCAATATCAAAGTCACAATTCTCAATACTAACGTCAAGACAGTTCTACTGTACATAGCTGAAACATGGAAAACTACCACATTCATCATAAAAAAAATATGAGTATTTATAAACAGTTTTCGACGCAAGATACTCAGTGTCTGTTGGATGGAAATCATCAGCAACATCCTATTGTAGAACAGAACAAACCAGGTTCCAGTTGAAGAGAAATTTAGTAAAACACGATGGAAGTGGGTAGAACATACATTTCGGAAATCACCAAACGCATCACAAGACAAACGCTCACCTGGAATCCTGAGCGGAAACAGAAAAGAGGAAATCCCAAGAACACTAAATCTGTAATATGAAGCAAACATCAAAGGGATGAATAGTAACTTAAAAGAACTGAAAAGGATTACCAGCACAGAGTTAGATGGAAAATGTTATTAGGCGGCCTATGCTCCTCCACGAGGGGTAACAGGTGTAAGTAAATAATTTGGTTTATCAGCTGATATTATCCTATCATCGAAAGATAGCTAACCTCATCATTCATCCTAGTTCCACTTAACTAGTGTTGTAGTAAACAAGGACACAGTGGCGGGACAATCGGCTGTATTACAACTCAGAATTACAGAGCGGGCTATCAAAATCTGAGAACCATACAGTAAATACTTAATTTGAAAAATATTAATCAATCGTCTCAGACTTGACTGTTCCTGGATTTCTGTACTAATTGTTTTATGTTTCCGTTTTTTCCTGCTTTATCTCAATCCTGCTGCCAAACATTATATTTCTCAATTGCGTAATATACTACTTATGTCGACATTAGTAGCACACCACTGTGTCAATTGGAGTTAGATATCAATATAAATCTATCGAATGATATTTACTCAACACCATGCATGTAATTGGTGGTAAAGATGAATGAAGAGTGATCAATAAAAAGTTTAGTTGAATTAACTAAACTTAAGGTGAACGACAGGAAACCCTCCTTCAATAGGATTTGTTACTATGTGTCAATCATTCTCACGGAGTACTTGCAGTCCTCTGGAATTAATGAGATTAGATACATATCACTCAGATTTAAACTTTAAATCAGTTTGCTCAAGACTGCACGTTTTAAATGCTAGCATGGAGTGTCGGTCAAGAAGTGTTTTCTGCCGACTACCTCCATTCGTCTAATACCACAACATGGTGTCAATTCATTTAGACTAGTGACCATATTACAAATTAACTGGTAGACTTCTATCAGTACTCAAGAATTAGATAATCTTAACATCAATTACTACTCAATGATTCAAGCAGAAGAGCTAAGCGGGATTTCATATATATATAAGTCATTCACTTATTATTGTGTGTTTTTCCCTGAGTTAGATGAATCAAGAATAAATCAGTCATACATGATCAGTTGGATTTTCTTCCCTTTATACTTCCCAATCTGTCAGATTATAGATCAGTGTTAGAACAATATCTTCACTCTACTATCAACATCATTTAGGTGTAACTCAAACTTAAGCTGTACAAATCTCAAGATTTTTCTAAGTAACGCATCATATCGAGGGTTGTAAACTAGATCGAAACAGCACATTCACCCTTCATAGACTAGTGAACAGATAGATAAAGAATGTAACATTAATAAACACTTCATCTTTATTAAATTAATAGGCTTTTTACTTTGATAATCGTATGAATCTGTTATAAATTATTTTTCAAACTTACTTGGCCAAATTCAATAAACTTCTACTTCTGATCAATAAAAAAAGAAAAATAATAAAGAGAAAACATGAGAGAAATCGACTTATTTTATACAAAGAGTAAAGCCTCTTTTTAAAGGAAGTATGTTAAAATTATTGGTTATATAGGAGGTTTTATTTACATTAATTAAAATTTATTGAATTGAATACAGCATACAAGTTATAGATGAAGTTAATTTCTGATATGTGAAATGCCCAAATGTACTCTCTACTCCATAGTGTTCTATTATCTCGGATGAGGATACTAAACATGTGGCTCTGAACTTCACTCAACCTCTTACCTATTCTTGCGCATATATATATTTCACTGATTGAAATCATGAGTCAATTGAAGCTAGACCACTATGGAAAATCTGGAATCACTTGACGGACGTTTCATCCTAGTATGGTACTCCTCAGCAGTGCTTTCAGGTCTAGCTTCAATTGACTCATGAATTCACTTATTAAAGTCTCCATAACTCTCCACAAAACCCCTTCTGATCATAATCATCTGCTCACTAATGACTGACTTCAAGAGGTATTTCCTGAAGTTCTAGTGAGAAGCCATGACCAGTTCACTGAAGACAATGGTGTACGGTGGCGCAATTTTGTACATAAGTTAAAGTTAGACATTAACACGGTCGTATGCCTGCCGGCTCAGTGGTCTAGTGGTTAGGCGTTCGCATGAGGGACTGATCGATCCTGGGTTCGAATCTCGCGGGGTACGGGATCGTCAATGCGCATCGCTAGAGGGTCCAATAGTCGGACGAAACGACCGTCCAAGATTTCAACGTTTTCCATGGGGATCTAGCTTTAATTGATTCATAATTTCAACTATTGACATTTCTAAAGTCTAAATCAATATTAGTAGTAATCATAATTATAATTAAGGCAAAAACATAAAATAAATATTAAATTACATTATATATTTTTTGGGTGTGGTCTTTCATTAAAATTAGAAACAAAAAATTGAATTAGGAATACTATTTTCTTATATAGAAATTATGAATGGAAAGTGTTTTTTTGAGGGGGGGGAATGAATTGTTCATTAATCAATAAATTAGAGTCATTTGTTGTTGTTTCTTTTTCGGTTGTTTTATTAGATTTTTTTCTATATAATTAACTTTTATTTAATGTATGTTTAATTTTATTATCATTATCACTACCATTACCACTATTATTATTACTATGATTACCAATACTATTATTATTATTATTATTACTATTATCACTGTTATATCCCAATGAGAATAATGAATGGTAACTGTTGGGATCCATTTATGAACCAATACCTTACGTATACTTTCATCGTATAATAGTTAAGTAACTAAACTATGCATATTCATATGCCTCTTAATATGAGCTTTATTTTGACTTATTAACTATTATTATACCATTTACCATTATTGAGTTATGTCCAGTCTATCAATTACTATCGCCCACATTCACAGTTACATTTCGCTGATACTTGTACAAATACTATTTCCTATTTTATGGTACAATGTGGTCTGTTTGGTATGTATATAAACCCAGTATGTTTGAGATAAATGATTCATATCGTGGAGGCTGAGATTGGTGTTCTGGACTTAACAGACAGCGCTAGGCGGTAAGGTGAACCGATAAGTACTCTAGACTACTCGTATGAGTTTTGTGCGTCATTAGTTCGATTGATAATGCACTATTCTCCAACTGGTGGTATCATCACGTTATATATTAATAGGACACAAGGCACAAATTATAACAATTACTATCATTATCATTACTATTACCATTATTTCTAAGAATATTCGTCAAGATTAGAATGAATAGATTGACAGAAATTCAGCACCGAGTATAGAGAAGACAACGATGATATTAATTTTGCTTATTACCCTGAAGAAGTCCAATTAACTTAGCTGAACGAAACTATTGAAACTATTTAAATTTCAATCACTACGATTATTTCGAATATAATTCTCATATAAAATATGACCATTATTACTATTATTATTATTATTATCTTTATCATTACGAATACTACTACTAATATTATTATCTGAACCCACAGATTGGTTCAGTAGGCTTTTGTAAATTGACTAATTAAATAATTTACATCAAATTAATTTTAACATTCACAGTTGTACATTATATTGTATCCAATAGATTATAGGCTTTGTACATAAACAAATGTATGGATATATAAATTGATAAGGTATATATGTTATGTATACACTATCAATGCCTAACTACAAGAAGGACGAGTTTTTTTGTTTGTTTGTTTAATGTTATAAGAGTAGTTTGGGAGAAATCTAAAGGTTATCAAACTAAAACACAATCAAGTTACTAAACAATTGGTAGATTTCAAACTATTTGTCTAAGTTTTTGAATGATTATCATAATCAATAGTTGGGGAGATTTGTCAACTTAGATTATAATCTATTGTAATGGCATAGATGTATCCATTCTTTCTTACCTCTTAGATTTTACTAATACTGATACTATTTATACCACTCTGAGATTTGTTCTCATCATCTCATCTTATTATGCTGACATGATGTGACAAATTGAAATCATTTATATGTTTAACGATATGTAAGTTCATTATAAATAACTAGTTATTTATAATCAGAGATGGATGGTGGCTAACAGTCGAATGTAAAACGTGTGTTTCATCATATTTAAGACTCGTTAGCTTAATACACGTACACTCTAGATTTAGTGTTCACACCGAAACTCGAACCTATCCATCTCTAATTCTAATGATTGTGACATAAGTCAATATCTAGGTAATTAGCACAAAATGCACATATACACAATACATGACTGATCAACTATACTCATAAATGTCAATGGGGGAAATTCAAACAACCAATATAAAAATAAATGAATCAATTGTTTGTTCATTATTATGATATTTGTAATTGCTAGTTGAACAAATGCTTTTGATTTATAGTTTATTCAATAGAGTGTATTGCTTTCTCTTGTGATGAATGATCATAACCTTCTAACCGAAATCCTAGTAGTGATACAACTAAGTGGATTGTAAAATGTTCAATATTAAATAACCCAAAATGGAAAGTAATAACAATATTTTTTTTGTTATTTCCTATTACATTATTCATAAAATTATAACAAACGTCTTTTCGGATTTGTGTGCGTTGGGGGGGGGGAAGTTTTGTATTCTTATATCAGTTATGTCTTCTATTATTTAGTCTTTAAACTTATTTGTTCTCTATACTGTTTGAACTACTCTTTTCTTGTTTATTTTTTCAATAAAGCCAACTCAGTTACTTTTAATGCATAATTCTCATCAACTATTTATTTTTGTGTGTAATGAAAACAAACCGAAATTAGAAATTCCGCTTTTGATTTATTTATTTGTTCTGGAGAAGCGACTTAAAACAAATCACCAAAAAAACCTATCGGAAGTTTCCGATATCACAAAAAGATATGATCATTTTATTATTAATAATAATACCTTTGATGATTAGATTTTGAAGCACAATATTACTAGGTAACAATAATAATAATAACAATAGTAATAATAATAGTGTAGTCCTATTGTGGGGCTCCTCCATGACAGTTTGTATCCACGATCCCACTCGCAGGATTCAAACCCAGCGACTACAGTCTCGTGCTTGAACGCTAAACCATTGAGCCGGCATCCAACAGTGTTAATGTCTAACTTCAACCAATCCATGAAATTGCATGACCATCTTCCATTGTACTGAGATAGATACCTGTCTCTACCCGATACGGATTAGTTCCACTAGTAATAGTAATAATGCAATCATTTATTTAATTCCATTCTATACAAATTGGAAATGAAGCTAGGACACTAAACATATTTTTATGATGAAGATTCAACAAAATGTATATTAATAAATGTTTTATTTCTCAGTTCGATTGAGAATTCTGTTAGGCGGTCTATGCTTCTTCCATAAAGGTAACATGCGTAACAAAGTAAGTCAGTAATATATACGTATAATTATCAAAACAATAAGATAACTATGAGTAAATGTATTTCTTCCCCATTTGTTTCTCTGTATTATATAGTCATTGATATTTGTAATTAGAATTCAATATTATTGAATTATTTATGAATTATGAACGTATATATATCCCACTATTTTGATAGATGTGCATAATAAATAGATACAAGTTAATGTTTTTAGTTTCTTCATAGTTGTAGTAAAACACTTATTATTATTATTATTATTACTAATGTTACTAATGACTACTACTAATACTATTACTTACCTTGAGACACTGGGCTGAGGTATAGCAGGCATACTAGAATTAAGCTGCATTAACTCCTTTTGGCATCTTCCCCTAGAGATTTTGTACACAAAAAAAACAGATAAAAGTAATATATATCTATACACTTCTGTATAATAAAACGTCAAGCATGTTACCAAACAAGCGTTACTATTGTTACTACTGTTGTAAGTAGTATATATATATCCATTATATGTATTCATTTGTATTGATGATATAACAAAAAAACAACTTGTAAAACTGATACATCATATTTATTTATGTTAGTTTACGTGTATTATTTTGTCAGTTACCATGGTTACCAAGAGAAATATATTTTCTTTCATTTTCTAAACTTTGTCTCATAATTTAGAGACTTCGTATATATATAATATAATAGTTTATTATTCCCAATAACAATAAATACAATAACTATGATAATATAACTATTAGAGAAATTGATGAAACAATACTAATAAGGTCTATTATTGATTTCAGTAACTATGCTGTAAATTATTTTTTTGGGGGGAAATGTATTGATTTGCTAACAAATATACTGTGAAAGGGAACAGTATATATATATATATATATATATATATATATATATATATATTCAAGGCGTCTTTAACGGACTGAAAATAATCCCTATAAACTTATATAATTCATTAATCTCATGTTTCAAAACGGTTGAATTCGTGATGTAATAAATAATTAGAATACAAAGTATTGTATTCATTCAGTAGTGAATTTTTAATATATTTTCATATTATTAAAGATTAGGCTTATTTACAGCATTGACTTATTTTATTCTATTAATTGGCTTCGATCACTTATTCAGTTAGTCATGAAATTTGAGATGGTGGAGAAAATTTGTAGTTCAGGTCAATGATTTTGATGGAGTTTTGTTCTCTGAAAACCAGCTTCTAGCTGAAGAGGAAATTAGGAAAAGACGATGGAAATGGATGAAACATACATTACGCAAATCGTCGAACTACATCACGAGACAAGCCCTAACTTGAAATTTTGAAGTAAGGCGGAAAAGAGTAAGACCAAAGAACACATTACGTCGGGAAATGAAAGCAGATATCGAGAGGATGAATAACAACTGGAAGGAGATGGAAAGGATTGCCCAGGACTTGTGAGCGGCCTATGTTCCTTCACGAGGAGTAACAGGCGTAAGTAAGTAAGTAAGTTTGGTCGTAAAGCTCAAAGAACAAAACTCCATCAAATGTTAGACCTAAAGCTTTGCAGAATGTATAGTGAATAATATCTTCGTGTTCTCTAACCGACCTGCTACTAAGTTGATAGAACCTATAAGGACAAATTGTCTAATCAATATATCTCAATTAAATCATTTCCATGTATGAACCTGTCTATCATGTTAGGGTGACAATTACTATCAGTATTAATCAACGTAGAATAAAATAATAAAGATTACTCAACAAACAGATTTCAATTTCTTTAAAGTCATATTGATTCACATATATTCTTGGTCAGAATTTCCTTAATGGGATTGATGATGAAGAAGTCTTTTCAAATAAAGTATTGTGTAGCGTTTAAACGTATGTAGAACTCAGCTTACTATATATATATCTATATATCATTTCAATGAAATCTTAGACACAATAGAGATCAACTCAATTTATGTAACAATTAATAGTTTCATTTTGAACTTTCCTTAAAATGAATGTTACGTTTTGTCTGGATAAATAAGATTGTTATAATAAAAATTTTAATTTAATTGGCCAATCCCTTCAGTAGTAAGTTCAATTAAATGATACAGTTATTATATTTCGATAAGCATAATGAATGGTAACTGTTGGGATCCACTTACGAACCAATACCATACGTATATTTTCTATCGTATAATTGTTATGTAACTAAATTATTCATATGCATGTTCCTCTAATTATGAGCTTTATTTTGACCTATGGACTATTATTATACAATTTACCATTTTTGAATTATGTCCTGTCTATTTATTACTACCTCCCACTTTCACAGCCATATTTGGCTAAATCTTCTACAAATGTTATTTCCTATTTTATGGTACAATGTAGTCTGTTTACTTTGTACATATACCCCATATGTTTGAAATAAATGATTCATATTGTGGAGGCTGAGATTGGTGTTCTGGGTTCAACAGTCATGAGAGAAGGACTCTAGACTACTCGTACGGGTTTCATGCATCATTATTCCGATTGATAATTCACTATTCTCCAATTGGTGGTATTATCACGTTATGCATTAATAGGACACAAGGCACAAATTATAACAATAGTGTTTCAGATTACTGACAAAACTCAATACAAGATAATTAGAGATAATTGTTAAATTCATTCATATTATTACAGTTTGATTCTTTAAACTATCAGAATAATATAATAATTAGACTATGTAAGATAAAAATATCCGATATGTACAACATTTTGACATCTCAGTATGCTGTTGAATAACTTCAACTCAGTTAAATAGTTCCTAGTTAAACATATGTGAATCCAATATTCTACCGTTTGAAGTTAACCAATCAAAATCATGACTGCTAATGATGATTGATTCATAATAATGTTACCCGAAAAATATCATTTCTGAATTTTTCTTCATAAATATCTTTAGACAAGTAAAAAAAATGATCTGTCGAAAATTCTTTATGATGATTTATAACTACTACTGATATAGTGAACAGAACACGAATGCCGACAATCGAATGTATTTAACACAAAATCTAACAATCATAAAGTAAATGCTTAATTTGCAAAATGTTCATCAATTGTCTCATAATGACTCAGATTTCATTATTCTTGCATTTTCATACAAATTGCATTCTGTTTCCATTCTTTACTGTTCGATCCTCTTGTCTCTCTGTTGCCAGACCGTCTGTTTACGACTAACATCATATACTACTTATATCAATATAAGTAGCACACACCACACAGAGACCATGTACTTGTCTATTTATTAGGGATAGATAATATTGAATTAATGTTTTATAATAAACTCAAAATAAACTTCCTTGGAAGTTTTTTTTCATGCTGTTGAGACATAGAATATTATTATATAATATAAATCATAAAATTTGAATCTTACGTAAATGTATAAAATTGACGACGTTTAAATAAACCACCATTAGCTTTGGATTCTTTGGCATCAACAGATCGATTTAAGCTAAATGGAATAAATTTTTTTATGAAAAGTTTTTTTCATAGATCAATAATGTATTGAATAAGTTATATTCAAAGTAAATAAACTCTATGGAATAACCAAATGAGATAAATATAAATCTAGTTGGCTATTTGATGCCTAACTCATTTCCAAATAACTTTAACTCTATGAAATACTCCATTTTGAAAAGTTGTCTGTTTCTTCTTATTTAACTCACTTAAACATGACTAATTGTATGGCTTTAGTACCTATTCATGACTTCATATCTGATAATCAAATCCAGGATGTTTGATCACATGTACGAACTTTTAACTTTCAGATTGAAAATCATACATCAAAACAAATACTCAATTACTTTTTTTAAAAAAAAACATATGTATTCAAAATTCGAATATATATTTCACTTACGTGAAAAAACATTGACGATCAACTGCCCATTTCCATAATGCTTCAGCTGATTCTGGAGTTGGACATTTGAAACCAAGTGTATGTCGACGCTTCAAATTGTTCACAATAATATTATATTAAAAATAAATTCGCATGACGAACAGAAAAGTTGATAAGGCTATAAATTGTCAGTTTATCAGTGAAGTAAACAATTACTTTTGGAAGCTTAGATTACGTAATCTTTGAATATTTCCATTTTCCAATCTTGTTGTTCGAACAATGAAAACCCCATGACATGAATTCTTAACTTAACATAAAAAATCTCTGACTTACATTCTGGAATAACCTTGAGAGGGTTAGGTACTTCATTGCTAAAAGTTAGGATAGACACTTTGCTCTATATCAAAATTCTTTAAAATGGCTTATATTAAATAGTTTGTTGGCTGTACCATTAGAGAACATCGTCCTTAATTCACTTTATCGCTTACTAGGGTTTTATTTAACTCAGTTGTTTAATGACTGAAAATAAAATTTAATTTTATTTGGAAGAAACATAAATGGTGTGAATAAATAACTAGCAAAAACAAGGAAGCACTGAATAGCTATTTAATCCAACAATCACACCCTTGAACAATGTATAAGCATGACCCCATCAGAAGTGATTTAATTCAGGCAGTCACGTCAGGGAATGCTTAACCTTTAGACCACTGAGCCGATATCATATAGTGTTTTCGACTGATTTTTTATTGATTGTTTGTTTTTTCACAGTTAAGCCAACGTCTGCAATTGTTCAGTCTCTTATTGGTAAAAGTGCATCCTGACTTAAGTTACAAGCTTTATGAGCAGAGATGGATAGCATCTAGAAGGATGCAAGTTTCTTCCCATTTGGAACTAATCAACTGGGTATATCTGCATCCCAGAATTGACGTTCACTAAAGGACTCGAACCCAGTATCGTTCAATTCAAATGACATCGCGCTATCTACTTAGCTACTGAGTCTAGATAACTAGTAACCCGTATAATGGGATAAATTTGAATTTCAATTCGCATATACTGGCTGTTTGAAGCTTCCTATTGACGTTTAGGACTGGGATTGATCAGTCTTTCTCTCTCTAGCCAGCTGCCATTTATCTCTGTTTATAATGCTTATGACTTAATGAGAATATCAAAGCATCAGGATAATCGGATCTCACATCAAATCCTTAATCTTCAGATCACTGAGCCGACATCAAATAGTGTATATATTTGACTGTCATTTGTTCAAAACACATCATTATTATATACTTTTAGGTAACAATTTTAAAGTGTTTAAATTAATAAACGATATCATTATCTATAAATATCTGTTATATGAAATATCCTTTAACATTATACAAATCAAATTAGCCTTAGGAAACAATCAAATATATTAATAAAATGAGAATATACCTGTTCCCATTCCACTTGTATAATGAATAACTTCCCTTCATAGCTTATTTTATTGATTTTTTGCCTATAGATAAATTATTAATTCATAGAATAGGTAAAATGTCAGTAAATGAAAATACTGTGATTGATTAAATAAAACATAATAAAACAAATAAAACATTCCACAGATTCAAACCATCAGTCAATTGAAGCTAGACCACCATAGAAAACCTGGAAACACTGGACGGACGTTTTGTCCTAGTGTGGGACTCCTCAACAGTGCGCATCCACGACTCCGCACCCGGCGAGTCTCGAGCTGAGGACCTATCAGTCTCGCGCCAAGCGCTTAACCGACTAGACCACTGAGCCGGCATCCAACGGTGTTTATGTCTAACTTCAACCAATCCACGAAGTTGCGCCACCGTATACCATTGTCTTCAATGAGCTGATATCTCGCAACAGACCTCGTCCCATACTAGGACGAAGCGGCCTTTTAGTGCTTCCAGGTTTTCCATGGTGATCTAGCTTCAATCGACTCATGATTTCAATCTGTAAAATTTCTAAAATATCCACAAACCCCTTCTGAAAATAAAGCATTGCTTGATTATAGCGTGTGTAAGTACCAACTATATAACGTAGAATTATGTTCGAAAGTATTTTCTGCATAAAAATCATTATTAAATGATAGTTAGATAGATAGATAGATAGATAGATAGATAGATAGATAGATAGATAGATAGATAGATAGATAGATAGATAGATAGATAGATGTGTGGATAGATAGATAGATAGATAGATAGATAGATAGATAGATAGATAGATAGATAGATAGATAGATAGATAGATAGATAGATAGATAGATAGATAGATGTGTGGATAGATAGATAGATAGATAGATAGATAGATAGATAGATAGATAGATAGATAGATAGATAGATAGATAGATAGATAGATAGATAGATAGATAGATAGATAGATAGATAGATAGATGGTGTAATGTTTACTGGTTTAATAAAATATTCACATTTTAATGAATCATATGTTTGATCTAATAGCTGGAGTTATAAAATTGATCAGCCACTTATTAGTGACCGATACCAATGTTTATCAAATGTTTTAAGTACTGACCAATTTCTGTCGATTAGGCTGCAAAATGTTCTGTAATCTGATTAGCTTAAATTATCAAACTCTATATTTAAATATAAGTCATTTGAAAGCAGTTGACTTGAAGCTTTATTTCATTTAGGTTTCGTGCTATTTATCATCTACCAGTAAGTCATACCTGCATTTTTTAAGGAGCTAATACTATTTGTGGGACACGTTAAACATGATGTTAGTCACAATACAGTGATAAAGCAATTTTAAATACCTCAGCTTAATTGTTGACTCAATAACCCAGTAATAATGTGATAGATTGTGAAACTGAACAATTCGTAATTGAACCCAATAGGTACTCATCACTGACGAATGTCAACTAAGATAAAAGATAAGTCAGTGGATAATGTAGGCTAGCCTCAATTACCTCAACACATTTACATCTGGTAAGACTCAATAAGGGGAGGGCTACCGATGGACTTAAAGAAGATCTAAAAAGCTATGAAAAACCAAAGGCATTCCGTCTAATCATCTTTTGAAAGAACGTTCCAGAATCTCGATGTTTAATTTTCCGATAAAATAAGTGCTGAAAACTACTGCATGCGGATTGGATGACTGTAATGATGATTTCGTTTTGACTAAAAACAATAAATACCCAAGTTTTTGTACTATATTTAACTGTCTGAATAAGATTTCTTTCCACTCGTTTTCTGTCGACTAACTTGTATTTTGAAGGGTTCGAGCGTTTGAGCGTCTTGGCAGAAATTCAAATTCTAGATATGACACTTAAAAAGTATTTATTCATTGTTTCCTCAATTTTTAAGAACAATCATACTCTTTCAGAAATACTCAAAGAATAAAGTAAGTATTCCATCATTAGAAGTCAGTAAATATTTCGTCTGTTATTTGGTTATTGATAGATATTTTATATCTCTATCTATATAAGGTATACTTTTGAGACAAAATATCTACAGTTAAATTCATTTTATATTGTTTGTATAAATCTTCTCAATAATGCTCGGGACTGCAATTTATCAATCTCTTATCGGTATATATGTATCTTGTACGAATTGCCTCGATATTGTCTTACGTTACAATCATTACGAAAGGAGATGTATGAAGGCTAGCAGTGGAATCCAAGACGCGATGACGTTTCACGCGAACGTCATTGAGTTCGAGTCCCAGTATGAACATCAACTGTGGGATGCAGGTACACCCAGCTGACAAGTATTGAATAAAACAAGACGCACGTCTTGGATTCCACTGTTAGCCACCATCCATTTTTGCTTATAATATCTATAGTTAGTCTTCAGAATATATGTTTTAATGAATGAGTATAAAGGCAAGTAGTTATTTTCAATATCACATTTTTTGTATGTTTCTAAATGCTTCATTCAATCGTTAAACCATTTCAGTTTACATTTGAATGAAACTCTTAAGAAATAGATTCAACTACTTTCATTTTACATTGATTCAATTCATATTAGATTTATTAAAATTTTACTTATACAGTTTCTAATTGTTGCCTATAACACATAATCTGTTGTATATACATTTGTTTAATAGGAGATTCGAAAAATTAATATTCCTGTCAATCATAAACATATTTCAATGTTAATGTAAAAAAAATGACTTCATTTTTTTTATTTACTTAATTTTTTGAAGGAATGGGTGGTTTTCTTAGAGGACCACACCCGTAGTCATCAACCTAAAGGTATAATTTACAAGGCAGTGGAGCGATGTAAGAAGATATAGTCCCATGGTAGCCGGTCATACGCCATTTCTTCCCTTAGGATCCTGGAGCCCATGTGCACCATTGTTTTGGAATAAGGGTTTTCCAACTCCCATAAGTGATTCCTCTATATCTACCAACCCGGTTAAAGTGTCGAACATTTGCTTTTCATGCTCTGAATTTCGTGAACAATACCCTTGCCGCTAGAAGGCAGTGAGTAAGACTTCTGTGGCACTGGTTGTATGCACGTGGCCATGTGAGGGCATTTTGAGAGGCAAAGCTGACTCTCTCCACTCTCGGCCGTACCAGGGAATTTGTTTAAACTCATAAAATAATAGTAGACAGACAATGATAGAAAAGTAAATAGCATGCACAGTGTATTGATTTATTATTTATTTTCAGTAAAGGGATTTGTTGAAGATTTTAAAAGAGCCGTGGTTTCAGTCTTTGATGGCATGATCATGAATGCCCACTGTCGTTGTGGTGTCCTATACTGTAACGAAACGGCTGTCCTTTTGTTTCCATGTTTTGAATGGTTATTAAACTTAGATCATTTCATGAAGTCAATGAAAATTCAATTTAATGTATTCATAACAAAAGATCCATTTGAACTATAAATCAAAAAATACTGCTAAGATTAGTATATAGATTTTAAGAGATTGTTCAGGCATAGAGTTCATACCACTAACCAATTCTAGCTATGTAACCAATAAAAACTAGAAAGTATTTGTCAATTATTTTATCTTAATATATAAGAATTCCGAAGCAGTACGGATCCAAGAACGTTCCTAATAAAAGATCACATTCATATTCTTCATACCCCGTGACAAGCTCTAAATCCTTAGACTAATTAATTAGAAACCAACAGATCACATGACATAATTCAATCAATTCCTACTGTTACACAACCATGTACTATTTGTTCTATGTTTCCTGATTTTCAATAACTTTTTAAGTAGTTTTACTCAATGACGAAAACTATGGTATTCAGCAATATTTATAAACTCTCCATACACATAATAGTCATTTGTTCACTTGTGACTAATTCCGAAGGGCAATTCTCAGAGTCCTAGAGACAAGTCATAACAAGCAGAGTTTAATTATATCAGATGTAAAATGATTGCTCAGCAAAGGAGATGGAAAATTGTTACTCGATATTGCGACAAGTAAGGCTATTTAAACATGATTTCTGAAATACCCAGTTAGTGAGAAATAATAATAATGATCACATCATTCACTATCAAAAGTCCGACCGCATCACATAAACCCATCTTTTCTTTAAGCATTCTACTCTCATAAATGTGAATAGCATATTATGCAATGTTAACAATAATTATTATTACTATTATCATTATTACAATAAAAATAAACGACTGTTAGTACATGGATTTATGATTATTGTTGAATTTTACCGCTTATATTACGAGCTTATCTTAGTTAGATCATCATTAAAAATCAGAAAGTATTGAGCTGATATTTCGTCCCAGTATCATACTCAATGGTATTGCGTACCTTCGATTCCACTGGAGGGAAATAAACCAAGACAACCAAACCTTACGTCCATCGCTTAAAATTTAGATCCTTGAGTTAGCATCCAATAATTTATGTGTCTAACTTCAATGAATTTGCGATATTGTTCAACTGTCTTCTAATGACGTGATACGTTTAGCTCATTGATGTCGAGTATCAGCAACAACCAACCGATGTCATCAAAAAATAGTTCAAGCATTATGACGAACTGATTGAAGTTAGGTATGCAAACAATCTGATACCGAATCAGTGGCCTGATGATTAAGTGCTAGCAGCAAGTCCTGAAGGTCTTGGGTTCGATCTCGTGTAGCGTTATTGTTTATGTACACTACTGAGGAGTTCAACAACATAACAGAACAGCCGTGAAGTACTTTATGGTTCCCGATTATAATCTTGCTAAAACTAATCGATAATACAAACAATGAACTAATGAATCCCACAATAAGACGAAACGGCTGTCCAGTGGTTTCAGGTTTTGATGATGGTCTAGCTTCACTTGAATTATGATCTCAACTATTGAAATTATCTAGTGACGTTACGTTCTCTGAACGAAACGATTTATACACGAATAACCCATTTCCCGTAAATGTTATGGTAATAACAGTAGGATTAACTGAAAGGTGTGAATTACTAGAACTTGAGATTATTGCATCAGAGGAGAACAAAACACTAAAAGAGATTTCTTTCATATCAGATGGGTTTCGTGGATATTATAGTAATTTCAATGGTTAAGATCATGAGCCAGTTGAAGCTAGACCACCATGGAAAACCTGGAAGCACTGGACGGCCGTTTCGTCTTATTGTGGGACTCCTCAGCAGTGCGCATCCACGACCACGCCTCCCTGCGAGATTCGAACCCAGTCGAACTCAGTCAAATTTTCAAGAAATGTTTCAGATACTCCATGTATATATTATTACCTTGGAATGCATATTCTACATTCATAAAGTGATTTTTACCTTAAAGAAGATTCTTTAATCAGTATACCAAATGTTTCGTAAATATTCCTCACTTGAAACCTAGTGTATCAAGTAAACATTCACTTTGGAATAACAGGCAAAAACTACTCTCATTGCATTCAATTACTTACTAGATTGATATACTTTACTAAAGAGACAACGTAATACCATTACCATACTTACATCAATAATCGATGAATATTAAGAAAAAATCTTCAATGTATTTAATTTTGAAAACGTTGTACTTGATGTTTCTAATGAGGGAATAGTTATCCACACATAAATGTGGCCTTAGAAGTTTGATCGAGTAAGTAAACTATCACCATCCATTCATCATATTAATGAGTGTTGCTAAGCCTTGGTAGCGATAATTGAATAATATTTATCAACACAATATATATTCTTTCTTTATAAAATTTGGTTGATTTCAAGCCACCTTTACAAAAATCATATTTATAAATAGAAAGTTAATATCAGAATGGGTTTTGTGGAGAGTTTTAGAAATTTTCATAGGTTGAAATCATGAGTCAGTTGAAGCTAGACCACCATTGAAAACCTGGAAGCACTGGACGGCCGTTTCGTCCTGGTATGGAACTCCTCAGCAGTGCGCATCCACGATCCCGCACCACGCGGGGCTCGAACCCAGGACCCACTAGACCACTGAGCCGGCATCCAACGGTGTTAATGTCTAACATCAACCAATCCACGAAGTTGCGCCACCGTACACCATTGTCTTCAGTGAGTTGTTATCTCACAACAGACCGGTTGAACTCGACTGGTAACGGCTTCTCACTAGAACTCCAGGAGTTTTTCTTGAAGTCAGTCACTAATGAGCAGTTGATTATTATCAGAATGGGTTTTATGGAGAGTTTTAGAAATTTTCACAGGTTGAAAGTTAATATTTTATGATTAGTAACAACACGAGTATCTCACCATTGTAGAATGCGGTTACTAAAACAATTACACATTTTAATGTACAGCCTAGTTCATATAAAGAATATATATATATCATCAACTACCAATTTGTTCAAATATTTATAAAGCATCTTACCAACTAAAAACATGTGCTTTTCTACTTCCTCTATACGTAATGACACCTTCATGATTTAATCCCATATAAAAGTGATTGCCTTTACGATCCTAGAAATATAAACAAAAGATAGAAAGCAATACAATTATTATGGCTTTTATCAGTGCTAAAATAATTATAGTAAGTTCACTTGGTATTGTTTACATGAATCTTTCCATTGATGTTTATGACTGTAACAAGAGACTAACCAAATAACAATGGGAAGATATAAGTAAACAATATCAAATGAATATAACTTTACCCCAATGCACAAGCAGGCAGCTATCAGGACTCAGTAGTTAAGTGGATAACGTCATGGTGTTTAAAGAGAAAGTTACAGGATTTGACTCTCACAGTGATCATCAATTCTGAGATGTAGATATATCCAGCTGACGAACTCCAAATAGGATGAAACACACGTCCAGCTGGATTTCACTGCTAGATACTATCCATCTTTGCTTATAATTATAATAAGTGTTTAATAAATTAAACATTGAATAATATGGTGAATAGATTTTTCTTTATTATTTTCTTTTGTATATACATATATTCAATAATCAATTGTAAAGGTAAATAAACAAAAAGAATTGAATTCACTTGAAGTATTTAAGTTACATTGAGTATCTATGTAAATGTCTTAGAAGTCCTTCCATTTTACAGTTCATCATTATTGATTATTATTTTAAAATACTAAAAATACCAATATGGTAGATTTGAACAGCATACATATAAGCAAATTATATTGTTGACATCTATATCCTCTTCACGTTTTACGTTAATATACAAGGATATTTATATTCATATATAGAATTATTGAACTGATTAAGAGAGTTTTTGGGTAAGTGATAACGGTGGAATAGATTACATTACTAAATATAGTAAGTGAATATTATAAATTATTAGTGTGATGACTGGTGTACTAGTTGTGGTAAGGATAATAAAGACTTGAACCAACGTTTCGCAATAGGAAATAGATCAGTGACTTGGAAAAAATACACACTGAAATAGTATTCATTAAGGATTATAGATCTGAGCAGATAGTTAGACAGTGAAGCGTACATGTGAAAAAGGAGGGGTGGAAAAAATAAACCAACAAAGTGTATGGAAACTAATAATAAGTAAAATCGTTTGTTAAGGCCGATTTGGCCAAGCGAAAGATAAGGGTAATACAAATTACATATGAACACAAAGACGGGTTGTTAACTCTAGTTGTTATCTATAGAAGAGGTTTAACCTCAGAAAGAAAGCTTGTAGGTTTACGATAAATTACACCAAATGATTTATTTATATTTAGTAAATTGCCGCTATCGATCAAGTGTTACAGAATAGAACGGGGTATTGTTTTGATTATAACCCTTCCTAACAACGAAGGGAATTGTTCACTAACTTTTTGGCTCATTTGTCTGGTTATATGTTCAATATAGCTTTTTCCACCGGGGCAGGTGAATTCGCAGATATACATGGAAGTGGGAAAACGAGGTAACTGATCCTTTGAGGTCGGCTAGAAATCAGTAGACAATAGCTAGCTGCATTAAACTTTCTCTTCATTAATAATAATTATATCTTTTGTTATATTCCAATAAACAGAAGAATCGTTTTTCTGACGTTTTGTAACTTGATATAAGCCCCTTCCTCAGAGTAAATAAATAACCGAATCAAATTCACAATAGTTTGAGATTACGTCAACAATATTGTACATACAAACTAGTAAATTTAAAAGATATCATATCAAAAAAACTGTTTATTGAGACTTAACCTTTGTAGAGCGAAAATATCATACTGTTCTTTGCATATGATTATTTATAGTCCCAACTGAATAATTTAGCTCTCTTCATAGTTAAAGTCAGTCAATCTCATAGTACCTCTCTAGCTACATTTCCAGTAAATTGTAAACATTAGGAACAAAGCTTTCTTACTAACCGTTGATGTCACTATTTTCCTGTTCATTCTTTAGAACACTATGTAAATAACCCACGTCAATCGAGATATTTTGAATAAGCTCTAGTTTCTTGTTTACGGTGTCGTTTGAGCATATCTTCCCAACCCTACTTAAAAAACATTTAACTAGGTTTTTCATGTTTTTCTCTTTAACATAAAAAAACACATCACTTTGTTAGGGTCTAGTGTTGTCACTGGGACACTTGATTGTTGATAAGCAGATTGGTAATCTTACTTATTTGAGAAACAATTTCAAATTTTATGAAATGTCTGAATTCACTCAGAATGTTATTTTGACATTTGATAACTGACAAACTGACAACATATTCTCTTCTTTATTAAAAAACGTTTATAGATCAACATCTTACACTACTTTACTATACAGGTAATGAAAATGACAGATAATAATAAAATCTATATACATGTAAAAAGCAACTGATTAGAGCTGATTTTCTGCAATTTTATAGAAGTGTTAATACACTGAATAAGCATATATTAACCGTGTATATTTGTAGGTCTAACCAAGATTGATTAACGAAACTTTAATGGAGAAGTCAGAAGGAATGATTTGTTGAAGCTTCATAGATAGATATAATCTTTCTAGATTTACCTATTGATATAAAAAAAAGTTTATAATTGGTATACTCGTCATTTCATTACTTTTCTAAACTCATATTGTGGTGTGTGCTACCTTATATTAATATAAGTAGTATATTACTCGAGTCAAGAATGTAATGTCTGGCAGCAGAAAATGGGGAAGATCAGAAAAGAAAGCGCGGGAATAGGAAACAATTAGTATAGAAATGCAAGAACAATGAAGTTCAAGACAATTATTGAACATTTTGCAAATTAAGTATCATAGTATGGTTTTTCTATTTTACCATGTACCTCTGTAATTTTGTGCTAAATACAATACGATTATCCCCACCCGTGTTCTGCAATGTGATCACTTTTTTTAACTTAGTTTTTAACCTTTCTACTGGATCTAGAAACTAATATACTAATTACAATCTGGTTGTCAGTACACTCGTATCATGGCTAATTAGTGAAACAAAATATTGATGAGGAAAATCAGGGAATATTACTCAAAACGTCATGGATAAATCAGTTTTATAACAAGACAATATATTCGCTTTATATTGTTCAAATTAAATTGAAACCTGTTTTGAAATTAATTCTTTTCACCTAAATCATTTCTAATGAATACACTGAATGATATTGACATGATAGAATGATTTAATGTTACATTACTACTCTATGCCTGAACTATATATGAAAAACTTTGGGAACCAAAAATATTCTGTTGTTTTATTTCCAAATCATTTAGGTAGGCCTCATACACACTTTTCCACTGTTCATTTTCTTTTTTGACATACTTTATAATTAAATTTCATTATTGAATAGTGATAATTTTATATTACTCAATGTAATTAGTGATAATGTGGATTAAGATCAAATCTAAGATTTATGATGATATTTAAATGAAATAGAAGATACACGAACAAATGAACAAATAGACATATAACATTGGGTGACATTCTAAGTTTACTGACGATTATCATTTCCCAATTGCTTATATCATAGAAGAATACTTCATCTTGAAGTACTTCAATATGAAAGTAGATTAGTAATGATCTTGAAAATCTAAGAGTATGAATACAGAAACTAAGGCATAAATGATTGAAACCTTACAAAAATGGATTTGTGTGTGTGTGTGTGTGTGTGTGTGTGTGTGTGTGTGAATACGTTTTATGTTCATCTACGAAAGTCTATCGAGTTACATTTAGCAACCAACACTTAGCACAATTTCAAATGATGATTGTAGTCACACCTCAACAGAGTCAGTAGCATGATGATTAACAAATAAGGGCGGCCTGCTTGAGCATCTGGGCTACCTGTTCCTGCCATCTAAATATTTCAACAAGTTATCTATTTTTGTTTATTTTAATATACCATTATGTTTATTAATCGCATAACCTATTCTGCTGCGTTTCTGAAAAGTGTACAACCTTTCGTTGTCAAAGTTACAGAAAACTCAATAAGAGACAATATGGTTGCTGGCAATATACAACGAAAAGAATGTACATTATTCAGTTGTTCATTCACTGAAGTGCTAACATCTAACTGGCGATCACTCAATATTTATCGCCAGGACCGACCAAGAAGAAAGAAACGGAAACTTATTGAAATACTTTGCGCTGAGAATTCTATATTGTACCAAAATTATAATATTGAATAAAGCTAATAATAATAATAATAATAATAATAATAATAATAATAATAATTTCTATAAAAAAAAGAAAAAGATTAATAGACTTTTTAATAGTTTTCAGTTGATCTCAATAAAATGAATCATGAATTATTATATATCAGTTTATTCTAAGAAAATTTCACTGATTGAAATCATGAGTCAATTGAAGCTAGATCACCGATGGAGAACCTAGAAGCATTGGACAACCGTTTCGTCCTAGTATGGGACTCTTCAGCAGTGCGTATGATTTCAACTAGTGAAATTTTTAAAAATCTCCACAAAAACCATTTTCTGATATTTGAAGAATAGTTTAATTTTACAGTCAATTTAGTTTTACTAATTATAATCGGATTATTATTATTTTTTTTTGTATTTTCATAAATGAATGACTCTATTTAAAAAAGAAACAAAAACAAAAAAGAAAATTTCCATCAACAATCTATTTATCAAATGAATAGCTATTGTACTTTAATGAAATAGGTAGTTTAGTTCATTCATCATTATTTAGGTAAAGGACAATGGGTATATTTTGTTTTCATTTTTTATTGAAACCATTACAAAAACCGGTAATTGAAAACAAATACTCTGTATAATAGTTAATTCGAATTATAATGGAGTGATTTTATTTTATTTTTATATATAGTATTGTAACATTTGAGTTGTGAAATGGTTAAAGGTAGCCTATAAAAAATTATGAACTTAGATTTTATATTATTGAATAGTTCATTGCTTAGTTCATAGATTATAAAGCTGAATGATATAAGTTTCAATTTATTAGGGATAATCATTTCCATGGTTGAGATCATCAGTCATTTGAAGCTAGACCACTATGGAAAACCTGGAAGCACCAGATGTCAGCTCAGTGGTCTAGTGGTTAAGCGC